ACAGAAAAAAAATCTTGTCGACCGTGGAGGATTTCTACAGACCACTGAAGAGCAGCAATTTGGTTTCCGAAATACCCTAGCTTCGCCAGCGTTGGCCGCCGAGGTGAAGGGCGTGAAGAGGGAAAATGCCAGCAGCCATGGGCGAAGAGGGCCATGCCATGACTCCTGGAGCGACAATACCCGGGCTCGCTGGGACTGTATCCTCTACGACATCGCCATCAACCTCCCCCTCGACCTCGCCGCCGGCTTCACTTCACCCGTCTAACCCGCCATCGTCATCACGGTCGCACCTGCATGCGCATCGCCAGAGCCACAACTCGTCCAAGCTGCCGGCGTTTCGGTTTGCTGATCGAGACCTCAACAAGCAACAGTCGTTGCCACTGCCGACCCTGCCGCACCCTTCAGAGCAGAGCCATCTGTCGTCGGCGCCCGTTTCGCCCAATTCGGGAGTGATTGACCTCGACGCGCCTCCGTCAGGCATTTACCTGGCGGACAACATGAGTAGGGGGGCCAGTACCGGCAGCAGGAGGAGCAGCAGAAGCAGCAACAGCAGCAGCAACAGCAGCAGCAGCAGCAGTCATAGCGCATCTCAGCCCCCTAATCCGATGCACGTTAGCGGGGTCGCCAGTGCAGGCCTGCGTAACCATCCCCCCCGGACCACAAGCAAAAGCACGCGGTCGAGCCGCCACAGTGGTAGGGACAGCCCTGACAGCGGCGGCGGCGCCCCGGCCGGCGTCCAGGACCATAGCCAGAGTCCACGCGAAATCAACGACCATAGCCAGAGTCCACGCGAAATCGAAAACACGACTCGGATTGGCACAAGCAACTCGATCCCCCGCATGACAACACACCATGCACAGTCCTCGCAGCAACACCACAACCAACACCAAAATCAACAACAGCCTGCCCAAGACACCCCCCAGACTTCTACCTCGTACCCACCACGAACGCGATTTTCAAAACGGGATTCAATCCCGGAAGATCACGAACTGTCTCCTCCACGCACACGACCGCGCTCTCGCGCATCGACCCTACAGACGTCCCCGCAACCGACTTTTGCGACTACGCCCGCGACCTCTTCGTCAACACGCCCCTCCTCCTTGCCTCATTCACCTGCCGCTGCCGCCCTCGGGTCACGGGAGCACGCATCACCTGACGTCGCCGGCGCTGCAGAGACACCTTCGGCAGGCGCAAAGACACAACACCGCCGAGCTCCTGCATCCAACACATCAAATGGTCTCGACAGCCCTGCAGGCCATTCGCCCTCTCTGAACACGCATCACCGCCTCCAATCCATCGACACGGCGCACTCGACGCAGCTGTCTGGCGCCGGACCCGAACACACCACAAAGGAGTGGGCTCAAGGGCAGCGCGAGTTGCTCCTGCCTAAGACGCTGCAGAGCACAACGTCAACGGAGGAAAAGAGGCAGACCGTCCGTTCGCGACCTCCTCTTTCCTTCCGAGCGCCCAGCAACACGTCTGCATCTGTTCGTGTCGCACCTATCCGATCATTCCGCTCCTCCGGTTCCCGTCGCAGTTTTGGCCTGGATATGAACTCGCCCTCGACGCATGCCGGGGACTCATCCGGCGACGATTACTCGTACACTGATTCGAATCAGCGCGACCGGACGTTGCGTGCCCTCGAAGGCAGACCCGACGACGAAATGATCCATGACACGACCCCACCCGATTCTGCACGACGAGATCATCTCGTGGATGGTGACGACACAACCGGCGATGTCTTTATGAAAATCGCCCGGGAGGAACCTCGCCGCCGCGCTGCCGACGAAAACTCGTCGGCAGAGGACCCGCGAACCGTCGTAAGTTGCAACGTCTTTTTCCATGGGTTCTGCTTTATCTGTTTCGGGTTGACGCCTAGCGCCATCCACAATGGCCGTGCTCAAACAGGCCCATCCCTCCATTTGTTCGCCGCGGGGTGCTCAAGTGATCATCGCACGGATCGACTCGGTTGATCTTGGTTCCCGCCTGTCACCACATTCCCTTCCCACGTTTCATTCTCCCGACTGTCCCTTCGCTGCCTCCATTTCTGCGTGCCTCGCTTATCATCCCGCTTCTGATGTGAACAATTGACATTGTCTTGCCAACATTCCTGTGATAAAAATAGCGTTTGGAATGAATGAACACGAACTAACAGACAACCAGACTCGAGTCACTCGATCATCGCATCGAAGACCCCTATCTGTCGCTGTACCCTCTTCCTATCAGTCCACGTCGCCGCCACGTGTCATCCGTCGGCTTTCTGACCAACAAGAGACATCCCGGTCAAGATCGCGACTTACCGATGATCGCGACGCCACAGAGGCCGCGGTCCGCGACCTGCCGTACCGTGGTCTGTTGCGGGAGAAGGCTGCCTCAAGCCATCCTGGTGAAGATTCTCGACAAGCGAGGCTTCTGAACACAGGGTACCGCAACTCTCCGACGACGCCCCGATCTTTGGCGTTCCAGGACTCTCCGGCGGACAGCTCGTCGTACAGCAGGAGGCGCACATCGGTCACTGATAGCAATCCGGGCCCTGCGAGCCGCAATTCTGCTTACAGACAATCCCATCTGGCATACGGACACCCTAGGACCTTCAACTCATCCCCCCTGGCGTCTCGCCAGGCGGAACCGCATCGTCATGACACGCATCACGAAGGTAGCCAGGGCATCGAAGGCACCGAGTCGACAGCCTCGACAACGGCCCCGTCCACAGTTTGGGATGAGCTGGACGATCTGAAGTCGCGAATTCATCGCTTGGAGCTGACGGGAAAGCTGCCTTCAACCTCTAGTGCAGCCATTCACAAGGTGCTGGATGAACGCCCCGCCACTGCCACGAACACAACTGTTTCGACTTCGCCAAAGCACAACAATGGAAACGCAACAGTCCTTAATGACGCCAGCAGCACAACGTCTTCTCAGCGGGAGGCGCAGCCGCTGCTCTTCTCGGCCATCAGCCGGACCAAACCTCTCTTGAGCGCCGAAGTGTCCAAGGCACTCGAGACGGCTGCGACCGAGGCCGTGGCACTTGTTGTCATGATGGGCACAGCTGGTCAGCCGGGCCCAATCTCAAGCGGCGCGAGCACCATCGGCGCTGGGACAAACCTAACAGATCGACAACTTCGACGACGCGCCGAGGGTGTGTGTCGCAGTCTGACAGAGCTTGTCTTGGCCTTGAGCGAAGAGGCAACCCAGCCTCAGAACAAAACAGTCACGATTCAGACGAGCGGGTCACCACGAAAAGAGGGCCCAACTACTCCCACCATCACCAAGAGCTTCCCAAGACTGGACATCCAGCGTCGTGGAAGCGTGACGAACAATGACGCGCCCACAACAACCAACGAGCCTAGCCCACGCGCCATGTCCAAGCTGGAGGAGAGAAGAAGCACAATGCTCAACTCGACGGCGCTTCCGAGCCCGCGATTCGCCCTTGCGCCTGCCGTATCGTCCACACCCACGGAAGCCTCCCACGGCGTTGCTCGCAAGTCTTCCCTCTTCATCAGTCGAACTCGGCGCGCTGCTACCGAAGAGCCTGAAGAAGGCCGCCGGTCATCCATGCTCCTCAGGACTCGACGGGCAGGAACAGAGGAGCCGGAGGAGGGCCGAAAGACGTCACTACTCCGCGAGCGCAGAGGCACCAACGAACACGACGACGATGAGCCTCGTTTCAGGGCTCCGTCCCGAGCCCAAACCGAAGTAGCACAAAACCGCGCTGCCTCTCACCACTTTCAGACACAACCTCCAACACTTGACCCAACGTCAAACAGTTCTGCCCTTCCCCGCCGACGGATTGGATCGTCGGCGCTCAACCCTTCTCGACTCGCGTCCCCCTCCACGCCCTCAGCATTGGGTGGACGCCGATACTTCGAGCGTTCGACACCTGATCGCGATGGCAACAGCGTCGCAGACAAGTTGGCGGAAGAACGAGGACAACGACACCTGTCCCTCGGCCAAAACTCCTTACTCAACCGCACAGCCAGCTTCCTACGGAGACCCAACCGCGAGAGCATGGCAAATGCCTCTACCTCGGCACAAACAGGCGGTTACAGATGACGGATGATGAACCGCACCCTTGCATAAATGATTCACATGTATTATTTTTCCTCTCTTCTTTCTCGCCCAGGCGTTACCCCGCCCACTTTTTTCTTCTTTCCTTTTCTGCTTCTTCTTCATCGTTGGCGAAGGTTTCTGATTCCTCTGTGGTTTCGCTGCTGGTCCTCCTCGCTTGTATGACCTACGACGATACATGACCAGCCCCCTTCTTGTTTGTTTACGGCCTCCTTCGGGAAAGGCAATTGGCCATCCTGAGCAAGCAAACGGCATATTGTACATCAGCCGGATTGAAGAAAAACTGCACAAAGATATGAAGGGGAGGATGGTCTGACGAAGCAGATGTGCAGAGCTGGCACTCTTTTCCTTATTTCCACGAAGCTGGTTGGACAGCATTGTCTTGGGTCGAATTGACCTCAGCCATAGCCGCTGTTGCAGTCGCACGATGATTTGCCTGGAGTCCTGGCGTTATGGATAGGGTAGACAGCTGAATAATGTATGACATGTGTAGTTCACTCTTGACTTTTGGCCGTTGCAATGTGGGAGTTCTTCTGCTCTGACGAAGGTCGTTGTCAGCCTCGCGGTCAATTTGTGAGTCAAACGGCGGCGACCTGATGCACACCAACCAAGGCCCACAAATTTTGAGCACCTCCAGAAGCCTAAGGCTTGAGTTTGGATAAGAACCACTTCAAGCTTCATCCTCGTCCACAATTTCATCGCCCGCCCTCTTCCTTTACTTATTCATATCCGCGAGACACTCGAGGTGAACATTTAAAAAGCTGATGCGGCCTTTCTCATCCGCAGCCCATCGTCAAACTCGGCTCTCCACGTGGCTTGCACTGCACGTCCGACAGGAAGCTACACATCGGTACACGCCAGCGCAGAGATCGCCCCCGGCCCACCAGCTCCACACGCAACGAGGTACCAGAGGGAGCGCGCGGCGACACAGGGCCATGGCTGACGATCTGGGCGGCAATGCGACGCACCTGGCTCTCGAGGACAAGGCGGGCGCGGGCCGGGGCGGGCGCGGTGGCAGGAGAGGGGGTGGTGGCAGGGGCGGCGGTCGGCCGCAGGACCGGAACATGCTCGTTTCCAAGGCGCTGTCGAGGCTGTTGAGGCATCAGGCTGAGAATGCGGGGGTGAAGCTTGATGAGGGGGGGTGGGCCAAGGTTGACGAAGTGGTAAGTCGTTGTCTTTCCTTACGTATCCTGGCTGTCGGATCCCTGGCCTCCGGCTCCGTCGCTCTGGATGTTCTGGTTTAACTGTCCTCCAGCTTGCCTATGGACCTATCCGCTCGCTCAAGGTCTCGCTGCCCGACGTACGATCCGTCATTGAGAACTCGGACAAGACGCGGTTCGCTCTCAAGCCCGACCCGGCCACCAATCCGGCTCTCGACGAGACGTCTGCGGACCCGTCGCACTACCTCATCCGCGCCAACCAGGGCCACAGCATCAAGCTTGACTCTGCGGCGCTCCTCACGCCCATCACGGCCGCGGCTGGCAACATCCCTGCGACGGTGTTCCACGGGACGTTCCTCGCCGTGTGGCCCGCCATCGAGGCGTCCGGCGGCCTGAAGAGGATGGGTCGGAATCACGTGCATTTTGCTACGGCTCTGCCGGAGGAGACGAAGAAGGAAGTCAGCGGCATGAGGAGAGACGCCGAGGTTTTGGTCCATGTGGATGTCGAGGCTGCACTGGAGGAGGGGATTGAATGGTGGATCAGTGACAACGGGGTCGTGCTGACAGAGGGCGACAAGGAGGGCGTGGTGCCGTCCAGGTTCTTCAAGGAGGTCGTGGGACGGGCGGCGGCCGTGGGTGTGCTTTGGAAGGATGGAGTGAAGGTGGCTGACATACCGGAGGGCATCAAGGGCAGGACGCCGCCAGGGAGACGGGGCGGAAGGGGACGAGGACGTGGGGGGGCATAGAGACTGGTTCAGTACATTGTCATAAATACTTGAAGCGATTGACTGGCTCTCGCCCACGTAGTTGACTGACTCTCGCCTACGTAGTTGACTATCTGGCAGGCGTAATTCATCTGGTGCAACCCCTTCCTTCGATCAAAGTGACTTACTCTCAAACGACTTACTCTCAAACGATTTACTCTCAAACGACTTACTCTCAAACTTGGGCCCGTGTATCAAAGAAGCTCCCCTCGAGGAACTCCTTTGCAATCTGCTCCCGATTCTCCTTTACCCCGAGCATCCACTCCAAAACCGCCTCGGCGCTCTTCTCCTTTGCAGCCTTCTTGGTCAACACGCCCGAGAACGCGCCGAGTCCCACAGGCGGTAGATGATGGTCGCCGAAATCGACACTCACTGACCAGGTGTTCCCATTGCCGGCGTCAGCAATACAGTCGTAGCGCGGCTGCGGGAGCTTGAGGAGTCGAGCGAGCTCCGCGACCTGGCCTGTGACCGGCTGTGGCTCGCTTCGTGGCACAGAGTCGCCAGGCGCGGGGATGCTTGGGGGCGGGTTGATGTTGGCCTGGAACACAGAACGCGGCTGAATCGCATCGCTGCTGAAGGGCGCTATGGAGAGGCCGGGGATAGCACTCGTTGGCGGCAAGTTCTGTCGAGGTACGTTCCCGTCCTGGAAGCCTTGCCGCTTGGTGAGAGGCGTTGTCTCTGTCCGGGCAGGCGATGCCGCTGTCGGAGATGGTGCTGCCGCTGCAGCTGTGGGTTTTCGCTTGGATGGCACAATCATCTTAGAGACGGCTTGGGACATATCCATCCTGTTGTTCGACATCAGGTACTCGCAAACGGAACGGGCAGCGAACTGCTTCGCATCCTGCAAGCTCGTCAGCGTCGAGACTGGTGCTTGTTTGCGACGACGGACAACTCACCTGTTTGCGTGCGAACACTGGCCCTGCGCCGTCGGCCGCAGCCCCGTAGCCATGACGAGGAAACGGACCTTCGCCATTGGGAAGCTCGGTGAAGCATCTCCATTTCAAATCCGTGCCTTTGCCGACTGGGTTTGGAAGGTGAACGGGTTCATCGGTGAATTTGATATCAGATGTGTGATGGTGGACCTGAACGTAGTCTAATCTGGAGTCAGTACGAGCTCCAGGTCTCATATATGGCATGATCAGATTTCGAGTGGCATACGTAGCAAAGTAGATACCCAGTTGATGTCATCCGTGGCTTCCTCTGGGGATGCTTGAGGGGGTGGGACTAAGGTATAAATTGCGGCCCTTTCAGCATTCGTGAGAGGCGCCGCGGTGCCGAAGTTGCGCTCATAATCCTCCTTCTCGGAGATGAATCTCTTCAGGCCTTCCCAGTCAATATCGTACGGAGCCATGGCGCAGACGTCGTCGAGGCGCGGCCTTTCTTTGACTTGGGGTCACTAACGCCAGGATGGAGTTGTCAAGCGGGGTTCCAACATGAAAGGCTGCGGAACCTATGAAAAGGCCAGGTCGGTCCAATGCTCAGCATCACCACCCAGCTTACCCAATCGCAAATGAACAAGCAAGCCGGGCAGATGGCACATGCGCAAACAGTTTACGCACTTTGATTGGAAGTCACAATAGAGTATCAAAGTTGTATGCGCTTGAATGCAGCATCCGCGAACCACTGTGCGCGCGCAAGAAAACCTGCCGTCCCAGGGTACGATGGGATGTTTGTCTCTCCTTGGAACGCCGTACAGTAGACATGAAGAATAACGCCTGAAATCGGGGTCCCTTTCCTATGGCCACAGATGTCGCGAGGCCGGACGCGGGTATCAAAGACAGAAAACGGACAGCCAACACGAGTACGCCTCTTCTCTGTTCGTAGAATCGGCATCACTCAAAGAAGCCCTCACCGTCATCCTCTTCCTCTTCGCCCGCATCAATCTCCCAATTGCCTGTCCTCTTGACCTCCTTCTTGTTCGGCTTCTCCTTCGCATAATGCTTCTTGTCCTGTGCCTCCTTGGCCTTTTCGGCAGGCGCAGGCCTGAAACTCGCCTCGGGCATGGCCTTCGCTGGAAGGCCGACTGCGTCTCGCCTGTCGCGAAGCTTCTCCAACGCTGCAGGACCCTCTTCCAAGAGCTTCTCGATGACATGCCACATCGGAGGCTTGTCTTCCGGGTTCTCGCTGAAGACTGGTTTCGGTACCCCAGGAGCCCTCGCGTTTTCGGATTCCGTCGGTTTCGCATCGCCGTCTTCCCTGGTCTTCGGCCACAGGCTGATGTAGGGCTCAAGGTGTGGGAAGTATTGCGTGTATGCAATGTCGACTTCGGACATGTGAATATCTGCCTCCAGCCGTGCCTTCTTCTCAGGATCCTCTGCCTCTTTCAGGGCTCGCTGGAACTTCTTCAGCCTGCGAGTAGCCTTTTGGCGTTCTGACGGGAAGCAAATATCAGCAAGTCAATTCACAAAGCTTAATACCGAATGCCTTGGCTTACCAAAGAATCGGACCATGTGGTATCTCCCAATCATGTCGCTCCGCATCTTCCTGACCTTGTCCTCCCCCTTCTGGTTTTGCAAACTTTGGATCTCCTGCTCGAGGTCATGGCGAATGGTCGCTGGCATATTCGAGTTGCGCTGCAATTGCCTCTTGATGTCTCTGATACGCTTCTGCTTCCACTTCTTGCTGACTTGCGGGCGTCCATCGCTGTTGCAGGGCTTGAACTTCTTGTTGGAATGTCTAGGGCCAGTCGAAGGTCCCTCTTCGGGAGCGCCCTCCTCGAGCTGTTCGGAAAAGGATCGCTTGCTCATGGTGAAACGCAGAAAACTGTGTGGGTATGAAAGATGTCTCGAGGACACAATGTCGGATCTGCGCTGGCGACGGTGCTGGGTTTTGCGAGGTCGCGTCTAGCTGGTGATTCTGTCGATCAACCAAAGATGCAACTTCAAAAATTCGGGGCCAAGTCTGTTTTCTTATCGGCTGGGTGCTTATCGCAGTGCCAACCCTTGTTGACCCCGCGAGCGACCGGTTTGGGCCTAGCGCGACAGACTGCCAGACAGCTGTCGGTGCTGGAGCTCGACTACGAGAGCTTCTTGCCATGCATGTACTTGACCTGCTTTGGACGCCTTATTCGTTTACAGTCGCAAACCCTCTCATCTTCGTTGGGATATGCATGGTTCCTCACAGAGGTAATTGAACGGATGTCTTGACTCGTAATAACCGTATAATTGGCGCCCAAGCGCTATCAGAGCCAGCGCATTGCGACACCTCTGATCACAACCCCGGCTCGAACTCACAACACGCTTCATCTGACCCAGAGTCTCAAGACGGCCCTAGCCGTACATACTCGCCGGCATGGACCGCCCCGAGCCTGGACTGATCAAATGGTCGCCTCTTGCTGGCCATAACAGGTTCATTCACATCAACCTGCAGCACCGCGTGGTTCAGCTTTATGAACCCAACGGCGTCGCCCAGCAGGGCAGATTCGACTACAAGCAAATATCCAAGCATGACGACTTTCCGGCTTTGACGACGTATGACTGGTCACCAAGCTTCCCTGGCCTCCTCGCAGTAGGCGGCCAAAATGGCGGCGTCAATCTGCTCAGGATGGACGACAACTCCAGTGACTACATCGAGCTTGGCCTCAAAATGACCAGGATGTGCCAGGCCGTCGCTTTCAACACGCAAGGCATTCTTGCTGTAGGTCTCGAGCGGGTGCGCATGGACCAGAGTCTTCATATCTGGGATCTGAACCGACTGTCCATGGACAAAGTCGCCAAGGGCTTCGCGAAGGACATGGCTCCCTTTACCGAACCGGTCACGCGGCTGGAGCATAGCGCCTCAATATCGAGTATCAAGTTCTTCGAAGACAACCCCCAGACTCTAGTCATCGGTCTCAAATCCCAGGGACTACGTGTCTATGATCTGCGAGATCCAAGCACAGCGCAGCTACAGTTCTCCACTCGGTGCAACAACAACTTGGCCATCGACCCGGACCCGAACTACTTTGCGTCTTCCGCACTCGACCAGCCCGGTGTTCTCGTGTGGGATCGGCGAGCCACCAGCCGTGCCGTCGCATCTCCGGCCTACTTGAGTGCCGTTGACGAGGAAGAAGTCTCCTGGGGCGCTGCCCTATCACTGCAGAACGCTGTCGAGACGGACGAACCGTCACTCGGGGACAGCAAACATTCCTTAGTCCGCTCATTACGCTACTGCCGCGACCACAGAGGGCTCTTGGGTGTTCTCACACGCACTGGTCAGCTCAAGGTTCTCCAGACCAACAGGGAACACACGTCAGCAGAGATGGAATTGGCTGGGAGCCCGGAGCTCATGCAAGTTAAGAGGTCATACGAGATGGATGTCAATTTCTCCGACCCCAACAGCAAGAATGATCGAATCGTGTCATTCGACTGGGTGACTCTGGGTTCCAACCCTCTCCAGCCCCGTGTATTGGCCCTCCGCGCCAACGGGGCCATGGAAATACTCGAACAGCCATCGCACGCATCCGACCATTTGTATAAACTCTCATCTTGGAAATCGCCCCATCGGGGCCTTGAAGGTTTGAAAGTCTTCAATTCCGGTGACATGGCTCAGTGCTGACCTGAACTGATCGCAGATGGCGCGGGCTACCAAAGCCTCCTCAACTTTGAGCCTTCGCAATGCGCTGACATGTACGGGCCGCTGCTACTAGAACAAGCCCTTTCCGACGTGCCTCTCTTCGGGAAAAAGAAAGCAAACATTTCGGCCGTCATCGAGAAGACGCTGCGATCCAATCCGTCGGCGGCAGATGTCAAGACTGAGCGACCCTCTCACTTGAGCATCTATCCAGAGACTCTGCATGGCCACTCTATCGCTGCAAGCCTACGAACCATGCGAGATGTGGCCGGGCAGAAGGCGTTGAAGCAAAAGAAGGGCAGTGCGACGACTGATTATGACGCCGAAAATGGCGCGGTAGGCGAAGTGGCCGACAAGATTGCAGACTTGTCGGTTTCACAGGAGGGTCCCAGATCTTGCCGACAGCTTCACGAAGATCTCTTGTCAGTGCTGCCGCAAGCCAATTGGTTGAATCCCGAGGCACAATCTGACATTGATCATGCGATGCTCCTGCGTGCCAAGGAGAGATATCTCTTTGACCCTGCCAGGAACAGAGCGGTGGTTTCTGATGACCTGTGGCTTCGCTACTTGTGGGATTGGATAGCAGGTAGGCTCTCTCATGTTTTCGCGCGCACGTTGATGAGCGGATGCGGTCTGACTTGCCATAGATGCCGAGGACGCTGCCGAGGATGGCGGCATGAAACTTCACCCCTTAGATCTCAGCTACATGGGTGTGGCTACGATCTGGGGCAATGACTTGGGTACGTCACGAAAGAGACCCGGACGTGGCACGCAAACTCATGGTGAACAGGAAACAAGCCTTCCTCGAGACTTCCCGAAGCATCGCCGATTCCCGAAGTCACGCTGTGGGAGAAGTGTATCGGCAGCATTTGCAAGAAACGGCGTCTGCCGAGATATCAAGGGGCTCACACAAAGAAGCCTTTTCACAGACAGCTGTGTCTCGATATCTGCACGTGGGGAGACACGACGCGGCACGAGCAAGACGACAGCCGGCCAGTAGCGAACGGAGACTACCCGAGCCCTCTGCACACGATGGAAACGGCTCGGGCACTGTTCAGGGGCGAGATTGGCAAAGCGGTTCAGATCCTGAAGAAGGCGAGCACGAACCACCCAGAGCTTCTCTTCGTTTCACTCGCCCTTCAGCTCATCGACAAGGGTGACAAGCGGCTCGCGAAAGAGCAGCTGGATTTTGACGTGGCGTTGGCATCAAAGACAGACCCCTATCTCCGAGCTATTTCGTCCCTCATTGCGACGGGAGACTGGTCGGCGGTGGCCAACCAGAAGTCGCTGCCGCTCTCCGACCGAGCCTACGTGGCATTCCGGACCTTTGACGACACGCAGCTTACCAAGTGGCTCGGCGAGCAGGTATCGATCGCGACGGAGACGGGCGATATTGAAGGAATTGTCTTATTCGGCATCACGGACCGTATGGTTGACGTGTTTGCCAAGTACGTCGGCAAGTTCAACGATTTCCAGACGGCGACGCTCGTCATGTCGATCTGCGCGCCGCGATACATCGACGATTACCGGTGCACGGCCTGGCGCAACGCCTACAGGGCGTATCTCCAGCGTCACAAGGCATTTTTCCTGCGCACCAAATTTGAGGTGGAGAGCACGAAGAAGAGCAAGCGCGACGGCAGACCGACGATCAAGCCGCCATCGCGGCAGATTGCCCTCCGTTGCGTGTTCTGTGATGCCGAAACAACAGTGCCTTCGCACAATGGTTCGGCACCACCGGCCGGGGCGCCAGATACACGGAATCCGCTGATGGTCACGAGCATCAGCGCCGGCGTGAGCTGTCCGAACTGCGGCCGCCACCTGCCGCGCTGCGTCGTGTGTCTCGAGGTCGTGGGCATCCCCAGGTCGGATCGACCCGAGGCGGCTGCTGACATGGACACCCGCATGGCAGCCAGATTTCCCACGTTCTGCCTCAAGTGCGAGCATGTCTTGCATCTCGATCATGCGCGGCACTGGTTTGCGCGGCATGTCGAGTGTCCGGTGCCAGAATGTCGGTGCAAATGTAACTTTAGGGCCAATCCGGAACTCAACTATCACTGAGGGGTGTCTGATGCCAGGTGGGTTGAGCGGTAGTCGTCGTTGCGGGTTCAGTTGTAGCAATTCCATCCCTCTGAACCCGAAATTGATCTCAGTACAAGCAAGCGCCCCATACGTCGTGTACCGCCTTCATGATCAGGTTTAGCGCCGCTTCTTACCTTTACCACCTCACGCAGTACCTAGTCCACCTAAGATCCTCACCACATACCCCAGTAGGCCTGATATCATTAGGCACCTTATTATAGCTTATTGTTCATGTACTCTGGGTTAAGCGTATTTACTATTAAATAGTTTTAAGGGGAAATTAATCTATACGATTTTACGATTAAATTATTATATAATATTTAACTAATAGTATTTAACAGGCTAGATACTACTATTGTTATAATAGATAGATCTATATAAGGGTCTATAAGGCGGGGGTAGGCCTAGTTATGGATTTTTGGAAAATTTGGGGTTTGACCAAGTTCGCCCTGTGGCCTTCCGTAGGTCAAGTCTTCGCTGCGGTGTTGTGGACGTTGAGCGTGACAGGGGGCGCGCTGTAGGCACGCAGCTGCCCCACCTTGATGCGCCATTCGAACGTCAGTGACGGTCCAGTCAACGCTCGAGATCACGCCCACAGCCTTCAACTAGCACGATAGCCTTTGAGATCTCCAACAACACGCGCTGCAGTTCGATTGACCCCTGGGGCAAAACGATGCTCATATCTCCAAAAAGCATCCTCCTGACGTAGCCCTCCGCATTAATTAGTTCTGCCTGTCGAGTCTGGACGCCGCGGTCATCTCCAGGCAGCGGTCAGCGGGACAATGACTCTCTCAGGCCATGCTCAGTGAGTCGAGACAGACCATGAACTGGCGAGACTTGGTGGCCATGCTGACTGCGTCCTAGAACGAGATGGATCGAGACGATCAAGCACACGCACAGCCTTGCCGATCTGCAGCGGGCCATCAGGTACAATGGGGTCTCGAGCCCTTGCCTTGCCGGTTATCGCTCGGTGTGCTGGAAGGTAGACAGCTTCGTGCTCTGTCGGCCACGTGAGAGCTTTTGCTGAACACACCACTAGATTTTCTTGCTGTTCCAAACTGTGAACAAGGAAAGCTGGGTCCAGACACTGTCTGAAAACCGCGACTACTACAGCGAGCAGCGTGATCATTTCCTCAAGTTCATCAAGCATCCAGAAGAACTGGCCAACGTAGCGGTAGATCCGCTGGCCGATGACCCCGATGTGAGCCTCGCACACACGCCAGGCGAACCTTGCACCAGATGCTCACATGTGCGCGCAGTCACCGTGGAACACACTACGCCAAGATGAGACCATCCGGGCAGAGATTGCCCAGGACGTCCAGCGCCTGCCCGAAGAACCCTTTTACCACGAAGAGCCGACGCAGACCATGATTGTGGATATTCTGTTCATGTATTGCAAGCTGCATCCCAACAACGGAGGCTACCGGCAGGGCATGCACGAGCTGCTAGCACCCATCGTGCTCGTTCTGCACCAAGACGCTCAGAATGTTCAGACCACGACGGACGAGGCTTCGGCGGACGCGACCATGTGGAACGTCGTGAGCCCCGCATCTATAGAGCACGACGCCTTTGCACTGTTCGACAGGATCATGACGCGTGCACAGGCCTTTTACGAAGTCAAGGACTCGATCGCGAGGGCGGCGCTGGCATCAGCATCTCGTGACCAGAGCGAAACGTCGGCGATTGTAGAGAAGAGCCGCCACATCCACGAAGTGTGTCTTGCCAAGGTCGACCCCGAGCTCTCGACGCATCTCAAAGACGTGGAAGTTTTGCCGCAGATTTTCCTCATGTAAGTACGAGCCAGGCGCGAGGGGTGTCTTCAGTTCTGACAAACCGAAGTCGCTGGATACGACTTTTGCTAGGCAGGGAGTTTCCCTTTGCCCAGCTGCTTGTGCTGTGGGATCATCTTTTTGCCATTGACCCGTCGTTATATCTGATAGACCTTGTGTGTGTTGCCATGCTCCTTCGCATTCGATGGCAGTGTATGTGCCCCTGCCGACTCGACAAGAACATCGCTCACAAGCCCTTAGTGCTCAACGCAGATTATTCTGTCTGTCTGATGCTTCTCCTAAAGTATCCAGCTCCGGACAAACACCACCCCCCGCACACATTTGTGGATGATGCCATCTACTTGAGAGACCACCTCGACACCTCGGGGGGAGCCACGCTGGTCATGAAATACACTGGCAAATTTCCGTCGTCGTCGGCGTCAGGCGCGCGGCCACGAACGCCGACACAGAAGCCCCTGCCCTCGTCTCCGCACATTCGCGCCGGCCGCTCGCCGCTGGCCTCGCCCGGGCGCTTCATCCAACAACAGGGCGGCGTCGAGGCCATCTTCCAGGGCGCAGCGAAGAACGTGCTCGAACGTGGCGAGAGGCTCGGCATTAACCAGGCCGTGCGGGACGCCATGGGCGAGATCAAACGAAACGTGCAAGGCTTCAACGAGGCCCGTCAGTTGCCGAGGACCGCGAGACAGACTCTTGTCGACGATTCGGCGACGAGGGCCATGTCTGCCATGAGGGAGCGGAACCGTCTCTTGGCGAATATGTTGGAAGAGTCGATTGCTAGCCTCAAGGTGGCGACATCGCAGATGGCGGATGACGAGAAGACGCGCGAGCTCGTGGAGACGGCAGCAGCCAAGGTGCAATTCGTCAAGGTCCACTTGGAGGACTCGACGATTGACGTGCCTGATCTGGACCTGCCGGCGAGTGCCGCTACCATGGAGGAAAAGGACGACATTGTTATGGAAGGTAATACTGACGCTTCGCCATTGCTCAACGCTCGCGATGCCGAGGATACGACAGCGGCCCTCTCTGGGCTCCAGCTGGAGGAGCAAGCAGACATGAAGACGCCAGACATATTGATAGATGCCATGGACGTCTCAAAAGAGACTCTCCTTGAGCCGACTCGAGGGGCTAATGCGCAGCCGTCAGTGGCAGAGAAGACCAATGGATCACTCGGCGTCAAGCACCCTCCACGTCCGGCGCCGATCCCTACACGTTCAACGCTGGCGCAGTCATCCTTTTCCTGGATGCTGGAACCCGACGAGACGGTGCACTCGTCTTCCGAGTCCCTTCCCACACAGACCTCCTCGGCGGCTCAGGCGCGAAAGCAGTCTGGAACACGCGGCAAACGCATCTCCAACAGCGTCAACCGGGACCGAAACGCCTTCCTCTTCGGCGAAGTCACGGCTGAGTCGGATGGCGCGAGCCAGCCATCGACGGACGACATATTTGGCATGGAACCCATGACGGCGAAACACAAGGGAAAGGGGCCCGAGACCGGTCCGGGTCCGCTGTAGGTCTGGCCCTGACAACAGGGGGGTTCTTCCATTGTTTGCCCTGGTATGAGTCTAGACGAATGAAGGATCACGACATGATGCATGATGGGATTTCTTCCGACATGTGCCTTTCATGTGAGCGTTCTTCTGACATGTGCCTTTCATGTAAGCGTTCTCCAGGGAATGAAACATGGCATTCATAGAGAGAGAACAAGCACCTCTGATGTAGGGGAGACTCCGCGGACGCTCCTTGTTGTCTCTCAAGTCACATGTTCGCGGGCTGACGGGTAGCCACGTCATCTCGATAGTTGATCCTGGATGGCATGATGCGCACAGCATGGCAGACGCGTTGAGCGAGCTACCTTCTTCAGAGGTAGGCAGATCAGGTGGACCACGTCACATTGAGAGCACCCCCTGGACCGGACAGAGCATCCTGGGATCGTCGTTGTCTCCTATTCACACGCCCGTTCTCCCTCCCTGCTCATTTCTCTTTTCTCCTCGCCCTCGCTAGTCTTCAAGCCGATCTGCCACCGACGGTGACAAGTACCGGATATGACCGCCCGGTCCCGTGCTGGATCGAGATCGGGACCGAAGCATCTGGCGCAGACACCGCCAGCAGAGCCCATCGACGACCATCCTCTCGGCCCTCCCGAAGGAGGCGGGGCGTAGGAGGAGACAGGGGGGCAGAGCGGAGGGTTTCGATGGTGTGATACGCGTGATGTGCATGGTGATGAATATGCCTTGGGGGACATGGGGACATCTCGTATTGTCGACCAACGACTGGCGACTCTGACGTTACACGACGCTAGTTACCAGACTGTCGGGTCGCCAGTCACACAGCAATTCTAAGCGACAATAGCCAGGTCGTATTGTACTGTGTGCTTGCAGAGAGAGGGGGGGGGGGCGTTTCGGCCTCTTGAGCCTGACCTCGGTTCGGAAGGGGGCGGGCTTGATCTGATCCGGTCTGCCAGGCGGGCGACTCGAGGGACATTCTGCAACCAACGCTGTTGGGGTTGCCCCCCTCCCCTTTCTCCTCGCCATGTTTTCTCTTCAAGGCTTTGGTGTGGAAACCAAGGCTGGCGGCGGTGTATCATAATTGCCATCGATATTGGGACTTTGGTACTCACACGGTGCACGCCTGACCTTCCAGCTGCGCCCTTCGAGGAGGATCGCCCTGCCAAGGAGCAAAGACAGGATGGAATAAAAGAGGGCGCAGAAGGACTCGAGATGAGGCAAACGGCCTTCTTGTTGTGGTTACACAGCGTGGAATTTGTCTTTAATCCCCGACACACCAGACAATGAGGGCGCGGTTGGACGACACCGCTTTCGCCCCCCCCGACCCCCCAGACAACTTCACATGCACCTACATGCCACGGAGGCGCCACACCGCAGTACATACCTGGGGAAGATCCTTCGGAGGTTATCCAAGGGAGTCAGGCGGGAGCAGCTCATTGTTGAGGTTGCAGATGGAGCATCTCGTGTCACAGATACAGCATGGCCCTTTGGTGATGTCCCCCCTCCCATTACCCTCGCTCTCGACGGCACAAATCCTCACCACGTGGTCCCGCGTCCCTGCGTCCCCTCGATCTCGCCCCCCTCGTGATGGACAGAATATCTCCCTCCCATACCTTCCGGAGCTGAAGATGTGAGACCATGGACAGACACACCCACCCCCCTCTCTTGCGTGAGGCAGGGGGAAAAAAGAAGGTATTCAAGATTCACGATCCAAAATCAAATCTGGAACGAATAGGGGGAAAAAAAGGGTATACCCACCTGAAGGGTCTGGATCAACGCCTCAAAATGCAGAAAGCATGACCGAGACTCTCATCCCAATTGACTCTCCCTCTCACTCTCTCTCTCTCTCTCTCTCGCAGCCGTGAGGGGTAGGCGGGAAACAGGAAATGTACATTCTCCCCCTCCGCCACCCGACGCCTTTCTTTTTCTTTTCCTTCGTGTCCCCTGGCCCACTGTCGTAACGTTGCCTTGGATCCGGGCCAGCAGCGAGCAGCGTGCACGGATGGCCAGAAGTGTGATTGAGGCCATCGCCAATGTCACATAGATCCCTGGACCTGGAGCCCGAGAGGCATGCCAACCCGACGACCCACCTCACCAGCAGGACCAACGCACACCGCGTGCTCGTGCTCGTGCTCGTGCTCATGCTCGTGCGCGCCAGGTTCCAGGTCTTCCTCTAACTGTGACTCGTATGCTCTCGCTCCCTTGCAGATGAACAACACAGCATGGAACCCTGCCCATCTGATGGTGATCTCCTTTCTTTCCTGTGCCCTATCCTCGGTCTAGAAAGCTCAGAAACACACCCTCTGTCTCTCTTGGCTCCGCAAAGGAAGGAAGGAAGAGTAAAAAATAAATACATGAAATAGATTATTCGGCAAGCGTAGTCTCCGCCACCTATGGGGTCGCAGAGACTGGGCGCCAAAGTACCCATCTCGCCTGTAGGAGGTCTCCTCAATGCCCAAAGTCACCCATCTCGCCAGTAGGAGGTCTACTCAAGCCCAGAGAGCTATCCATTCTATTGCCCACTCGCCCGACCGCCGTCTAAACCAAACGCCTAAGCACAATCCATGCCACGCAGCACTCGTCAACCAGGCCGCCACCTGCCCTCGAGAATGGAAAACGTCTCATCATCGTCACGTTAGAAGGCCACTGCCAATGATGGCGGGTCCCGCGGGCCGCAAACAGGGGGGGGGGGGGGGGGTATCTGCGATCGCTCCAGCGTCCGGTCCATTCCTTCGACTGCCACTCCTACCTAAGCTACCTATCCTCCTCCCCCCACCACCAGCGCACAGAAACGTGCCAGATCAGTGTCCACTCATCATGTACCGCGCTCCATACCTGCTGATGCTGCTGTCCGATCGGCTCGCGCCGGGCCGAACACATGAGGTGGGGAACAGCAGATTGGGCAGGGCTGAAGCGTGAGCGAGCAGCGTCTCTGCAGCGGACAGAGACCATGCGGCGAGTAGATTAAACGCCCTCACGTGTACCCCTGTGATCTTAGAGTTAGTACGCAAACGTCAGAGACCGTCCTGAGCACGAGGACGAATCACTCGGGAAAGACTCTTGTAATCTTGTTTACTGAATTGCTGTTGTTATTATTGGACAGAGCAGGCCCAAGCCCGCCGTCTCCCGAGATAACATGAGAACTCGCTCTTTTCCACGCCTCATCCAAGAGGTCAACGCCGTTCCGAGACGAACGTGTGTACCATACATTCCACAATCACTCATTGTATATCGTTAGTGATCCCCAACCCCCCTCCCCCCAGAAAGCCGCCGCTCCCAGTAAGAAATAACCTCCCCCCCGCCGAACCCCCATAATGAATATCCGACACCGTATACACCGCCCCAGGGCCAGAGCCGCCGTTGACATTACGCAACAAACCAAAGCAAGCAAAGCAAGCAAAGCAAGATGACGTATAGACAAATGAAAGGAAAAAGGGAGACTCGGCAGCAGACGATGGGTCTGAGATGAGTATGTAGGATCAACGCCGCCGTAGAAAAGGACAGACGCCCCTTCCACTCGATGCTTAGAGTTTTGCGCCATCAACCCATTTTTTCGACTGGTAGCTGGGTGTCTTCGTGTTCGTGTGCATGTGCGAATGCGTGAGCGCATATTTCTTTTCTCGCTTTTCGAATCCATCCCTTGCGGAAAAGTGACATGTACGAAGACGAAAATGGCATGGAGTGACGAGGACGGGGAAGTGATGAAAGTCCTCATGTCATTTGTGAGAGCACTGGGCCCCTGAAATGAAACAGAGACAAGTGAAAATTCTGTCATAATGCGCATATCCCACGAGACAGAGGCGGAACCGGACGGAGTCGAGGACAGGGAGAAGTGAGGGGGCCACGGCCGATCAGAGCCGACTTCTAACGGCACAATCGTCGGCAACCTGCGCGGAATGCTGCTCCTGGCCCCTCGCGAGGCGCGCCTCCATCTCGGCGCGCCGCCGCTGCCTCTGCATGGAGGCGTCGAGCTGCGCTTGTCTCTCATGGCCTGTCGTGCACACGTTAGTTTCATGCCAACTGAGAGACCTCGCCAACTGATCGCCAGATCACGCCCGCCTCTCCACATGGCGTAAAGGAGGGGGGGGGGGGACCACATACCGATCCTCCAGACTTTACGCTTGTGTTCCTTGCTCACCCACGAGTAGTGAATGGCCCGCTCCGGATGCGTTGAGAGCAGGCCAATGCTCTTGATGAGACGAGCCTTGGCGTCACGTACGGGCAACTCAATCGTCTTGACCTCGTCAAACTCGTCGAAAACAAGAAGTCCTTGAGCATCGGTCACAGGAATCTTCTTGTTCTCGCGGTAGTATGCGCTTTGGAGGCCGCCGTTGCGACGCAGCGGGCCTTTGAACTGGGCGTTGTACTCGCGGTTGACGTCGTCCCAAGGCGTCTCGCGGTCGTGGCGGTCGATGCGCCAGTAATCAATAAAGTCCTTCTGCTCAATGGTGTACTTGACATTGCAGCGGGTGCCGCGGGCTGGTGGATTCCGTTTCGGCTTCTGAATCCTGTGGGGTGAGGACATGGGTGAGAGCGGCGTCGGGGGTTGGAAGTGTCTCCTGTACGTGCTGGCAGCATCGACATCCAGACGAGGATGCCTTGTCAGTGCGTCGTTGTTGTGGAGGCGAGAGTCTGCTGAGGATCTGGCATAATGAGAGGCGAGTGTCTCGAGGCTGATGAGATCGAGCTCGGGCAGACGCGGCAGTGACAGTAACCTCTCTCCCGTGTTGAGGGAGAAAGCACGGAAGCCTGAGATCTTTGGTGACGGCCAATCCGGGGACCCTTCAGCGGAGGAGAAGGACTCGGCTTTGAAAGACTCGACGGTGACTGCAAGCTGTCATCAGGACTGAACCTGGATAGGTGGCCAGGGGGGGCAAAGGTAAGCTTACCATCTGATGCAAGCGAGCTGTGGCTCCACGCTGGTGACACAGGCTGGTGTTGTCTGTATGTGCTGGTGCTGGCCATTGTAGCGATAGGGGGATAGTCGTGCAGTTTCGTGTTCATGGTCGTCCGTATACAAGTTGTAACGGCTATGGTGAGACGACGATGTAGACGACGATGTAGGATGTAGATTCTGATGAACTGAGGGTACTCGGATTCAGGAACGAAAGAGGGGAGAAAAAGGGAAGCTCAAGACGTGATGAAGGATACAGTGCAGCGAGACCTGGCGTGTTATTGATGAAGACAGCGGGACTCAGACCCTGATAACCAGGCCCCCCCGTACATCCTCAGTACAATGGAGCCGTCGAGTGTTATATCCTTTTTCCTGGGGGTGGAGAGAGGTTGCCCCGGGCCCGAGCTTTTAGGGTCTGAGATGTGTCGAGACAAGAGACAAGCCAGGAACCGCAGGAGTATCTTGCTTGAATGGCAAGAGACTAGGATCAGGCACGATAGATTGGGTAGATCGACTCCACTTGGAGATTCCACTTGGAGGGTCCTGATCGAGGAGCGGACAGTTTCTTATTCTCTTTTAGACGGCCTCCCTGGTATAGACGCCCATTTTTGGTTTGCCCCCACCCCCCCCCTTTTTGGCCCCCCTTGTCACATCACCCAGGGGTCAAATATGATAGAAAAAAGGGGTGGGGAAGGAGGAGGGGGGGGGGGGGTGGTGTACGGTCCCGAGCAGCCTCAAAAGAACTGTAGTTGGGTTTGTTCTTTGCCTTTGGTCGTTAGGAATCGTTCGATACCGGGGACCCTGGCACTGGGGAAAGAAGAGTCCCAACCTTCGTGAAGTCCCAACCCGGTCGGCGGCTGAGCAGAGGTAGAGAGGCAGAGAGGTAGAGAGGCACAGTGAGGAGGGGGGAGGGATGGGAGCGTGATGGGAGTGTCGAACAAAGAAGACCATGGCAATAGAGGGTCCCATGGTGTTGAGACAGGAGGAGCAGGCAGAAGGAGCATGATTGCAGACTGCTGCGCCCGCAAGCGCACCTCACATGGCGCAAGGGAGAAGCGCAGAGGACGCCTGGCGACGACCAAGCCAGGACAGTCGGTGGGCTTGCGATGGGGTCAGCTGGCGAAGGACAGCAGTCGAGACTTCGCCCTACGTAGGTTGCAGTCAAGATTTCTTCTCAGAGGCACTAGTGCTGGAGGGGCTGGCGGGGGCGTTGAAGCGGGTATGCAAAGGCAGCAGGCCGCGATGCCCACTGAGACTGGAAAGCAGACATGACTGAACGGGCGTTGAAGAACTTGGGCGGCACCGTGCGCGAGTGGTAGTGTGGGTTGGTCCAGCACTGCGTCCGCCATCGAGTCTGCGCCGCGCGCGTGCGTGCAAAGGTGTGTGTGTGGCATCCTGTCTGACAGGTCCGGTCTGTGAACAATGAGTGTTGGCTCTGAGGGCCATGGCCTTGTGTGACTCGAACAGGATGGACTAGAGGAGGGGCCAACGACCAACAGACCAAGTCGATTGACCGCAGTATCGACCTCGGAAATGGCAACGAGCTTCAGATGTCGATTCTAACCCTGTTCGATCGAGTGTGACCCGAGGGTTTGGGACCGATGGACCAGATCCTCCAGCCCCCCGGCCCCCTTTGCATAGCAGTTGGTCTCGGCCTGTGTGTGTGTGTGTGTGTGTGTGTGTGTGTGTGTGTGTGTGTGTGTGTGTGTGTGTGCGTGCTCTGTGTTGTGTTGTGTTTGCTCACCGCGACTGGCGGCTGGCGGTATGTGTAGTAGGTGAGGAGGACGAGCGGGGTGACGACTTCTTCCGTCCCCGAATGGCCTTTGACTAGGTACCTAGGTATTCTCGTCTTCCTCGAGCAAGCCATTCTCTCCCCAAGGGAGTAAGGGGGGGGGGGGCTATTGTTGCTAGGTAGGTCAGGTAGTTCAGTCTGTCAGCCCTGTCGCTGCCGCTGCCGCTGCCAATGCCACTGCCGCTACGCTGCCTTCTGCCCATCTCAAAGCTAACGACGGTGGCCACAAAAGACAAAAGAGCCCGGCCGCCGTCAAGTGTGGTGTAACGGTGCCTCATCATGGCGCGGGAGAAGGAGCCGTTGTGCCGCGGCGTCATCCCTGGTGGACGGCCGGCCCCAGATTGGATCAGATCCAAACAGTGGAAACAACTTGTCAAGTCGATTCGCGTAGGTATAGCAGCCAAGGAGGTCGCACGCTGATGGCGTCTGGGAAGATCAGCGAAATGCGGGGGCATTCCGTGTCGTCGACTGGCCCGTAAGCTGCGGGAAGTCCACGAGCCGTCGTGTTCCGTCGTCAATAGGAGGCGTCATGCGCAGAAGCAACGAAGGCTTGAATCATGCCCGACACCCCTCTCTGCCTCTGCCTCTCTGCCAACTCGGCTTTCCCTACAGCGCCAGGCGTAGGCGTCAGCGTCAGCGTCAGCGTCAGCGTCAGCGCTGGTGTCCAGTGTCGGCGTCAGACGACAGGGATGTCATGAGCAGCATGGGACCATACTTCCCTTACCTTACCTTACCGTAAGATCTGGCCCCTTGACCCCTGTTTTGCCCAGACACTGCATTCTTCTCCACAACGGCTGGGTGAAGCGACTGCGCAAAAGGGGCGATCGAGGAGGATGAAAGGGTTCGCCCAAGACCTCCAAGACGCCTGATCGCTTCGTTAGCGTTCGCACATCGTCACAACCCCCGTTGCTTTTGCTTTTGCTTTTGCTCTCGCTTTCGCCGTCGCCGTCGCCGTCGCCTGTTCCTACATGGTACTCCAGATGCCTCTTGCTCTCCCCCGTACCATCCTTGCTGAAAACACACCCGTACATATCGGCCCATGTAGCTCTGTTCAAAAGCGTCACTGGCCTGGCAGCAAGCCGTCCAAAGCATGCCACATGTGCGGACAGACGTTGGTTCGGGGCGATTGGGTCCAAAGCAAGAGGGGCGGAAACCAGAAATCCGCACAATCCTCTCTCTCAACGCGTCCCCCTTGTCCTGGTCCTCGTACCTTCTGCATCTCGCACAGGACGTCCTCGGCGATGGGGATCGACTCTTTTTTTTTTTTTGGGTCCTGTTTTAGCATCCTTCTGATAGACTTGTGGCTGATGTGACAATACCACGCTAAGGCAGTCAACAACGAAGCCAGTGAAGACCCAAGACCCTACTCGCCTTGGCGACGTGCCCAGAAAATCAACCAGTCGCGTCTTTTCAACATACATGGTACTCGCCCTCGATCGTGTTCCCCTGTGGACCGGGGACCTGACCCGTCTGTGTGACTGACCTAGACTGTGTCACACTGCAGAGCGCGCTGTAGAATCCGCGTACGCGATCGCTCCACAAACACACACACACACACACACACACACGCCCGACCACCTCCAAGGAGGTATCCTCACCTCCAAGGAGGTACCCTCACCTCCAAGGGAAACAAGGGAAATAAACACAGTGCCATGCACTGGCCAACTCGCCCGGCCTCGCCGTGCCGCATGAGCCTGGCCTGATCTGGCCCAATCGGGGTGGGTGCCTGAGCAACTGGGCATGGGCTCATTGTTCTCGTGAATTGCTTCTGCGCCTCTTAAGACGTGGTCCTTGCCAAGCATCACGCCGCCTACAACCGTAGCTCACAAAAGCCCGAAACCTAGAGCACAGGAGGCAGGCCTGGTCGGACTCCCATGCAGGGTAGGGCGGGCTACCGCGGTCAAGGGTGCCTCCATAAGCCATTCATTGATCGACCGAAAAGCCCACTGCGCTGCACTCATGTAACTCCCCGTCGGAGGGCTCTTTATCGACGATGCGTCGAGGAACGGCAACCCAGGCGACATGCTGAGCCCGCCGCTGATCATCTGTCAGTGGTCGCTCAGCCCGTCAGCGTCATCCCGTCTTTCGACTAAGCCCATGCGGCTCAGAGACTCGGACATCTTGTGATCGTCGAGGGGTGAGATTTTGTCTTCCTTGTGCCGTGAGGTGCAGTCTCGAAAACAAGAGTCTGAGTTCAGTAGTATGCAGCTGGCCCCGAGTCACTCTTGATCTGTGGAGGCACAGGACGCCACGAGAGAGGAGCTGTCTTGTCTTGTGCACTCGCTCCCGGATAGAGGTGCAAAAGCCGACGGATGATGCATTGACGTAGTTGCGGCGGTTCATGCTCACGCTTCATGGCGTAATGAAACCGATGCAGGTCATGGCGGGCGCTGGGGGGGTATGTCGCAAGTGCAGGACGCCATGTCTCGGACATCTCAGGATGCGTAGATGGTGCTATTCCTACTGTGCTCATGGAAGCTGAAATTCTGCAATCTCTCATCTGTATGTGTTAGACATGTCACGGTATTCAGGGACCGACTTCAAACGAGCGGAGCACCCGCAGAGACTACGAATACAGGACTGACTGGCAGACCCAGGCAGCATGTATCATTCGGCCGAACCAGTTTTTGTTTTCTTCAGCGCGCTTTCGCCCGCTCTGGATCATTATCGCGTGTGGTTGCCTGCCTCATCTGCCCTTCGACTCTTCAATCTTGATATGACTCACCTACTTGCTTCGAAAGGCAGCAGTAGCCAGCCTATGGGACCTGTTCGCCCGAGTCGGTGAGAGCGAAATGGACCATGTTCAGCAAGACGAGGGGAGGGTGCATGCCATGCCATGCAGAGCCATGCAGAGCCGTGCAGGGCCATGCGCTTCCAAGACCATGCCGAGGTGCATAGCATTCCTTCCAGATGGCAAAAAAAGGACGACGGCGATGCTCGACATCTACCACAACCTTCTGTCGTCGTGAATGACAGTTGAAGCTAGGAGGAGCCAATGCAATGACCGCCCGGAGGTTGGGGCCAAACGTACATGTACAGGGCACCTTTATCGGTCTCCACTCCAAGACGCGATCGATGTCTTGTCCGTCTCCGAGAAGCAAGCTTTTCGGCGCTGGTGGACGGTCTCGTGTGTCGTCAGCATGCTAGATGAGAAAAGCAAAATGAGGATTAAAAAGAAAAGACCACAAGAGCTCAGGTCCAGGTGGCAGAAGAAGAGACAGGGTCAAAACAGTTGTAGCAGCGCACTGGTGGGGCAGCGAAACGTCACCTCTGGTTCCCGTCAAGTCGAAGGTCAGCGGAGCCAGTGGTGTGTCCAGC